CGGGGTCTCCCTGCGCTCTGCTCACCCCGGTCCGCGGGGCCCTGGCAGCTTGCTGGGTGCCCGGCCGACGGGAGTGACTACCGTGCTGTGAGCGGGACACCCTGAACCCCGCTGTGCCTGCAGCCCGCGGGGCGGCGGAGAGAGGTCGGGGATTCTCGCTCTCGTCGGCCTGTGTAGCCGGGAGGTGTCGGAGGGGTTGTAGCCACTTTCCGGTGCTTCGGATCTCGGCTCCCTGCTGCCTAGCGGAGAGCTGGGCTGGCCCAGCAGCTCTCCTCGTAGACCTGGGCTCCTTTCTAGTGGCGGGGGACAGTTCAGCGCGGCGATGGCGGGAGTCGGGGGCCCTGCGAGGCCTTCACAAAGTGAAAGTGACTTTGAGATGGTGGCAGCTCTTTATTATACCATAAAGAGTAATAGGATTTCGCCAAATAAAACTTTGTTGTAGTTACGTGGGGATTGAACCCAGGGCCTTGCACGTATTAGGCAAAAGGTCTAACACTGACCACTGAATTACATCCTCAGCTCTTCTTTACTTTTTTTTGTGACGGGGATTGAGCTTTCGAGGCAGGCGGTGGAACCACTGAGCTAAATCCCCGGACCTCTTCTTTACTTTTGTTTCTTTGTTTTGTTTTGTTTTTTGAGACAAGGTCTCACTATGTAGTTGAGACTGATTTGGAATTCACTAAGTAACCCAGGCTGGTCTCGAACTCACAGCGATCCTCCTGCCTCAGCCTCCCGAGTGCTGGGATTACAGACGTGGGCCACCATGCCTGGCTACCTCTTCTTTACTTTTATTTGGAGAAAAGGTCTTACCATATTGCCCAAACTCGACCTTGTGCTTAACTAATCCCAGCCCTTGGGAGGCCGAGGAAAGAGGATCACAAATTCAAGGCTAGCCTGGGCTTCATAGGGAGTTCAAGGCCTTGCATGAACTACAAAGTGAGACCCTGTCTTGAAATAAATTGCCCAGGCTGTCTTTGAACTTGGAACCCTCCTGCCTCGGTCTCTAGAGTAGCATAAGTGTGTACTGCCACCACCTTGGCTAAAATTTTTTTTTTTTTTTTTTTGCATGTCTGTGGAATTTCAGGACTTCATATGTGCTCGGCAAGCGCTCTGCCGGCCCACTGGCTTGTTTATATTTTTAAGACAGTGTCTATGTGAGGCTAGACCCTAACTGCTGAGTTCACAACACCTTCCTGCCTCACCTGACCAAGTAGCTTCATCATCACAAATTTGGGTCTTAAGTTACAGGATACCCACATCCTTGGAATTTTGCAACAAAATATGCTAGGTTTCATTAGGTAAAATATATGTTTTAACCTCACAATTTTCCTGATTCTATTTCAAAGCATATGCAAAGCTTCCTGTAAGGAGGTGCAGGGTGTAGCTAAGAGACTGTGTCTGCATCCTGCTGTTCACCAATCGGGAGGATTTAGACAGCTTCCCAAACCGCCCCCTGCCCCACCACTGTGGTCAGGAAAAAACCTAGTGTCTCCTAAAGGCTACACAAGCAGCACTACCACTAAGCTACCAATGCACAGCCCTCCCCCTAGACTTCCCCTCTCCCGCTTTCCTCCCCTGTAAGAGGGATCTGACTGCCCTGCCTAAGTAAGGGCTGCTTCCCTGCAAGGGCCTACAGTTGTTTCCAGAGGTCTGCAGAGAGCTGGCTGTCCTCGTGCCACAGGGTGACATTTCTCAGGTCCGGCCTCTGAGTGGACTAGTTCCCCCTTGCCATGGGAGTCCCTCTGGTCCTCAACACCAGCACATGGACATTCTGCAAGGTCCAGTTGCAATAAAAAGGGCAGGCAAGGCCTCCAGCCATAGACCTGTCGATTGTCTCCATAGCAAATCCAAACTTGCTGTAACAGAGCAACTGGATTCCAGCCGCTGTTTATTTTACAATGCCTTCTGGTTTGAAATGCAGTCGGTGCAATAGTCCAGCCTGCCTGGCTAATCCTATTCTTTGTTGTTAGGGGAGAATTTCATCACAAATTCTTCAAGCTGTTTTCAAGGGTAAGTCTGATGTCATAACATGTTTCCAGGTCAGTATTATAAATATGCCCAGTTTCAGGGCAACAAACGTGGTTTTTTGTTTTGTGGCATTGGGAATTGAACTCAGGGCCTTCACACTGAGCTAACTTCTTTGCCCTCCTGCCTCAGCCTCCCAGAGTGCTGGGATTATAGGCATGTGCCACCATACCCAGTTTAAGTGTGTTTTGAGTTATTTTCCAAGGAGCACCCTCCAATTGAGTTAAATCATCAAAGGGTCCTCCCAGTTTCTTCACTTAGTTGGGAGGCGGTAATGAGGCTTCTAAGCACATATTGCTGTGTCTTTCTTGGGCCTCTCATCAGCCACCATGCAGATGTTGGCTGCAGTAATACAAGCGAGGTTCCCTTTGTTGCAATAATCTCCTGAGCTGTGGCTGCAATTTAATATCCAAGTTCTTCTTACATCTCCACCCAGACCACAGCTGCCCCTAACAACCAGGCCAAAAGCCTCAGAGGGTCAGTTACACAGGTGGGCATGAGCTTGCCTCCCCTGGGATGCTGGTCTCACTTTCTGCTTTGAAGATTTTACTATGCAAACAAATCACTTGGGAATGTTCTTAAAAAGCAGAATGTAATTCAGTAGGTTTGGGATGTGCGCTTTCTTTCTTTTCTTTTTTTCCCCCAGTACAGGGAATTGAACCCAGGGCCTATGTGCTGAGCAAAGTCCCCAGCCCTTTTTCATGTTTAAAAATTTGAGACAGGGTCAGCGATGTAGCTCAGTTGTGCTACGCCTGCAAGTGCAGGGTCCTGAGTTTGATCCCTGGTACCAAAGAAAGAAAAAACAAGTTCAATCCCTGGTACCACCCCCCCAAAAAAAAGAAAAAACAAAAACAAAAAATGGAGACAGTGTCACTAAATTACTAAATCTCCCAAACTGGGCTCTAATTTTGGACCCTCCTGCTTCGGCCTCCCAGAGTACTGGGTTACAGATGTGCGCCTCCACACTGGGCTGGAAATGCGGTTTCTAACAAACTAAGATGTTGCTGCTTCTTACAACCACCATTTGAGAAGAAAGAAAGGACCGGGCGTGGTGGCGCATGCCTGTAATCCCAGCACTTGGGAGGCTGAGGCAGGAGGATCACTGTGAGTTTGAGAGCATCCTGGGCTACATAGTGAGTTCCAGGTCAGTCTCAACTACATAATGAGACCCTGTATCAAAACCCCTCCCAAAAAATAGAAAGGACTGAAGACAACACCAGCATTTCATAAACAGTCAGATTCCTTGGAAGGTCAGGACAAAAAACAGCTGGGTTAGGACCCCACAACAGGTAATACTTGTAGGTGTCCATGTGGCTCAGGAGTTCTAGGGTCTGGGAGGAGCAAGGTCAGGGCAGATGGTGGTAAAACTACCGTGCAGGGCTGGGTTTGTAGCTCAGTGGTTCCGCCCCCTGCCTCGTAAGTGCCAAGGTCTTGAGTTCAATCCCTGGCACCAACAAAACAAAACAAAAACCACCAACAAAAAAAACTACTGTACAAACTAGGAGGGAGGACTGTAGCAGTGGGGCCAGGGGATGTGGGGTCATGGGCAGTGCGTTCTGCAGGTAGTCTGGTTTTGCAGTCCAAGAACTCGGGTCCTAAAACTCCTAGCCCTTCAGTAGATAGATTTTGAGCTCTGGGATAATGATTTAGCTAGAATTTTTTCCCCTTTTTTATTTTATTTATTTATTTATTTTTTGGTACCGGGGATGGAACTCAGGTCCTTGTACTTGCGATGCAGGCGGTGGAACCACTGAGCTAAATCCCTGGCCCAATTTTTTGTTTTTTTTTGAGACAGGGTCTCACTATGTAGTTGAGACTGACCTGGAACTCACTATGTAGCCCAGGCTGGTCTCGAACTCACAGCGATACTCCTGTCTCATCCTCGCAATATATTTATATCATGATTTTTTTCACCAGTTCCACTTGATAGATATTTGTTTCCTTTTTCTTTTGGTGGCACTGAAGATCGAACCAGGGCTTTGCACACCCCAGGTGAGCTACCCCTGAGCTACATCCCCAGCCCAGTTGCTTCCTTTCCTGACAACAGGAGCAGCGCTGCAATAAATCACACTGCAGTACATTTCCTCTTGTTCAGGCGCGAGGGTCTCTCTCCACTTTGCAGAACTGAAGAGGCACCAGGCCTTCCCCCCAAGTTTCCAGGAGTTTGTGACAAGCACTTCTGGACACTTTGCTGCCCGCCGTGGGGGGCGGTGTTCTGCCCCTCTCTCGGGGAGTAAACAGGCACTGGAGGCCACCGTCAGGCAGCCGGCCTGGCTCTGGCGCCGCCGGGGCGACCACGCCTCCGAGGGTGCTGCTGCGCAGGTGCCGGGGCAGAGGCGGGAGGGACGACCCGGGCGGTCCCTGGGTGTGGAGCGGCCGAGCCCCCTTTTGCACCGGTAAGACTGAGGCCCACGGGGCGCTCTGCCTTCACTCCAGGGGAGCGGTAGCCTCCTCCGCGTCTGGCCTCGCCGCGGGAGGAGGGCAGTTGTGGTTTCTGCGCGGACAGACTGCAGGGTGAGGCCCTTTCTGCCTCCACATGGCCTCTGGGCTCCGGCTGTCGCCAGGTCATCCCTTCCCTCGTGCCCACACACGTACCCCTTGGGCATTGCTAGTGCCAGGCCCTGGGTGACTTCTGGGGGATGGTGTAGCTCTAAAGATGAAAAGGACAGGTGGCTGGCCAGAACTATAAAGAACCTTGCCAGGCGCAGTGGCACTCCAGCACTCAGGAGGCTGAGTCAGGAGGATCATGAGTTTGAGGCCTGCCTTGGCTACGTAGTGAGACCCTTGTCTTGGAAAAATAAAAATAAAAAAGTATTTTTTGTTTTTTGGACATGGTCTTGCTATGTAGTTCAGGCTGGCCTTGAACTCACTATGTAGCCCAGGCTGAACTCACAGTGATCCACCTGCCTCAGCCTCCCGAGGGTTGGAATTACAGGCATGTGCCACCTTGCCGGGTTTACTTGTTGATTTACTCAGTGTTAGGCATTATCTGTTGTCACAGTCTGTTGGACATGAGGATGTAGCTGCTTCCTAGGTGCTTCCTGTCACAGATTCCCGTTGCCCTAATAGTGTTGCACTATTCTTTTGTTGTTGTTGTTTTTTGTTTTGTTTTGGGGGGGTGTTTTTTGAGACAGGGTCTCGCTATGTAGTTGAGACTGACCTGGAACTCACTATGTAGCCCAGGCTGGTCTCGAACTCACAGTGATCCTCCTGCCTCAGCCTCCCGAGTGCTGGGATTACAGGCATGCACCACCACGCCCAGCTTAGTGTTGCACTGTTTTGATTGTATTAATATTAGCGTTCCCATGTCCCTCACAAATGAGCTGCATTCTAAACCCTGCTTACTTTCCTTTTAGGAAACAATTTTTCCTAAACTGTTAACTTTCAGTTTTGTTTTCTCTCCCTTCCCTCCCCAGACTTCCTCCCTCCTTTGATTTTGTTTTCATTTTGGTACAGGTCGCCACAGGTGCTTGCGCAGGCGGTGGCACCACTGAGCTAAATCCCTGGCCCTTTCTATCTCTCAATAAATTCTTCCTACTCTTCACCTCCATTGTTCCTAGAATTCATTCTTCAATTTTTATTTTATTTTATATTTTAGTACCGGGAATCAAATCCAGGACCTTGTGCTTGTGAGGCAGGAGGCAGAACCACTGAGCTAAATCCCTTGCCCAATTCTTTGATTTTAGAGAACACAAGCTCCGTGTGTCGGACATCTAGCAGGTGGAGAGTTGTGGTATTTCTTTACATTATTTGGAGATTTGTAGACCATATGCCCTGTATCACTGGGGTTACAAGTGTGTGCCATGCCTGCCTCTTCCTCCATTTTTTCTATTTTTGTCTACATGCTTGCTTTTTTTTTTAGACAGGGCCTTCCTGTGTAGTTTCAGGGCAGGGAACTCGCAATGATCCTCCTGCCTCAGCCTCCCCAGTGCTGGGATCACACGTGTGCACCGCCATGCCTGGCTACATGCTTGTTTTATCTGGATTATCTCCTTCACAGGCTTTCCTCAAACCCTCCACTCATGTTTGGGCGCGGAGCAGAAGGACACCTTGTACTTGGTCCTGGGGTGGGTGCTTGTCAGCTGGACATTTTTGTCAGACTTATCTGGCTGAGAAGTTTCTTTGAGAATTCCTGTCACACGCCATAGGTCTTTCCCTTAAGCAGAACAGATTCCCTCTGAGACTTTTCTAACATCTTCTCCAGAGGATAAAGTCTGGGTAGCCTGTCCTCTGAGGAAACGGGGGCTTCAGCGTTCCAAGTGTACACTCTATGACCGTGTGGTGCATCAAACTCAGAGCTTTTCAGGGCTGGGATGTAGCTCAGTGGCACTCAGTTTGATCCCCAGTACCACACACATGCACACAGAATTTGGGCTGGGGATTTGCCTCAGTGGTTCTGGTGCCTGCCTCGCAAGCACAAGGACCTGAGTTCAATCCCCAGAATGCAGAGCTTTGCACATGCTGGGTGAGCAAACCTCCACCACTGAGCTGTCCTCCCAGCCCCCTGAGTATTGCTGTCCCAGTTTTCCTTCTCCCATTCCCCCCTCAAGAAAATGGAAATAAAGAGGGTTTTTTTGTTGTTTTTTTGGTAATGGGGATCGAACTCGGGTCCTTGCGCTTGCGAGGCAGACAGTGGAGGCACCACTGAGCTAAATCCCGGGCAAGAGTTTCTTAATGGGGAGGGGAGGAGGGGGTGAGGGGAGGGCAGGGACAAGGGGAAAAAGTGAGAACCAAGACCTGTCATGTGAAGGTACAGGATCCCAGTAACGAATGTAACTATATTGTAGACCTAGATTGTACCAATAAACTCAATAAAAAAAAGAAGAAAACCTTTAAGGGGGAGGGGAGGAGGGGGTGAGGGGAGGGCAGGGACAAGGGGAAAAAGTGAGAACCAAGACCTGTCATGTGAAGGTACAGGATCCCAGTAACGAATGTAACTATATTGTAGACCTAGATTGTACCAATAAACTCAATAAAAAAAAGAAGAAAACCTCTCCCGTTTTTTTCTGGGTCCAGGTGACCGGAGGAGGTCTAGGGCCTTCGTTTTGGCCCCTCCCTTCTCCTTCACTGGCAGAGCTGCTAGATGCCACCTTCCTGAGTGTTTTGGGTTTGCACAGTACGGCTCGGATTGATCATTTTTTTTTTGTGTGTTTTTTTGGGTTTTTTTTTGAGACAGGGTCTCACTGTGTAGTTCAGACTGCCCTGGAACTCACTGTGTAGCCCTGGTTGGTCTCCAACTCATAGCAATCTTCCTGCCTCACCCTCCCAAGTGCTGCGATTACAGGCATGTGCCACCGTGCCCAATTTTTTTTTTTTTTTTTGTTTCCAAAATACTACCTGCTCTGAATTCCCGCTTTTTGTAGGTTTAAATCTTTTCCAAATTATCTTTAATGCCTTTTAAAAAAAAATCCAGCTGGATATGGTAGTGCACACCTGTAATCCCAGTACATAGGAGGCTGAGGCAGAAGGATTACTCTGAGTTGGAGGCCAGACTAGACTACACAGTGAGACCCTATCTCAAAAAACAAAAACAACCCAAAAGTCCCTTTAAACCAAGCTTGGAGGCATACATCTGTAATCCCAGAATTTTGGGAGGATGAGGCAGGAGGATTACAAATTCAACCCAAACCTGGGCAATTTAGTGAGATGTTGTTTAAGAAAAATAAATACAATAAAATAATTAGGGCCGGGGATTTAGCTCAGTGGTTCCACCACCTGCCTCACAAGCGCAAGAACCTGAGTTGGATCCCTGGTTCCAATAAATAGATAAATAAAATGATTAAAGAGGGAATGAGGATGTACTTCAGTCCAAAGGCCATGGGTTCAATCCCAAGCTCAGGGGAAAAACCCCTTTAAGATGTAGCTCAGTGGCAGAGTGTTGGCCTAACCTAATACCAGGCAAGGTCCTGGTTCACTTCCCAGCACTGGGGGGAAATCCGGTAAGACCGGCCCAGGGCCCACAGTCCTCTCCTGGGAGGGAGGCCGAGGTGTGAAGTCATTGCAGCCAACACAGCAAGTCCCCACCTCAGAACAAACCTCTTCATTGAAGTTTTAGTAGGATTTTAGGAGAGAAACAAATAATGCCTATTTATCTCGCTTTTGCTATGGTTGTTGTTACTAGGGATTAAATCCAAGGTCTTCACACTCAGCTATACATCCCTAGCACTTTAATTTTTCTTTTTTCACTTTGAGACAAGGTCTTGCTAAATCAGTCACTAAATTGTCCAGGCTCAGTTCCAACTTGTGATCTTCCTGCCTCAGCCTCCCAGAGCCCTGAGATTACAGGCCTGTGACACTTATTCTTTCTTTCTTCTTCTTTGTCTTACTTATTTTTTCTTTGTCTTCTTTTTTCCGTTTTCTTTTTTGGCAGGGCTGGGGATTGAACCATGGACTTCTTGCATGTTAGGCAAGTGCACTACCAACTGACCTACACCCCCCACCCCCTCATTTTACGTAGTTTCTAGAAGATATTATTATTTTTTTTATTAGTGTTAATTTTGAATAATACATGTTGCAAATTTCTAAAGTATATATACAAAGTAAACATGGGCCAGAGATTTAGCGCAGTGGTACCACCACCTGCCTCTCAAGCACAAGGTCCTGAGTTCAATCCCTGGTACTAAAAAAAAAAAAAAAAAAAAATAAGTATATATATACAAATGTATATATGTACATAAAAGATTAAGTACAGTAGTGGAAATACATCCCCTTCCCTTCCTTGTCCTGAAGTTTCTATTACCAAGGTCTTGCTTGAAAACAACCTTTGGAAGGTAGGGTGTGTACTGAATGAGATGTACCACTAGTCACAGTAAGACCCAGTCTGGAAAATCTGCAAAATAAAGACAGAGGGGTGGCTTCTTGGCAGGAGAGCAAGATATGTTGCGTTGACAAGTGGCAGGGGCAGTCATTTCTCCTGGTTGTTTCATTTTGTTTGTTTGTTTTGGTTTTTTGAGACAGGGTCTCACTACATAGTTGAGACTGACCTGGAACTCTGTAGCCCAGGCTGGTCTCGAACTCATAGCGCTCCTCCTGCCTCAGCCTCCCAGTGCTGGGATTACAGGTGTGCGCCACCACGCCCGGCCTTCATTTTGTTTTTTTGAGACAGGGTCTCACTATGTAGCTCAGGCTGGCCTTGAACTCACTATGAGATCCAGGCTGGCCTCGAACTCACAGTGATCCTCCTGACTCAGCTTCCCAAGTGCTGGGATTATAGGTTTGTGCCACCTCGCCTGGTTTTGTGGTTCTAAATCACATCATTGTGTATTAATATAAGATTTTTCTCACAAACACAGAACCAGGCTCCCCAGTACTCTATCCACTTTTCTTCTCTCTTGACCTTGCACTTGCAGGCAGGTGTGGTACCAGAGCTAAATACCTGGTCCCCTCTATCCCCTTTTCCTTTCTTTGTTTTTTTTGGGTTTATTGAGGCAGGGTCTCCCTTCATTGTTCAGGCTGGCCCTGAACTCGCTATGTAGCCCAGGCTGGCCCTGAACTCACAGCGATCCTCCTGCCTCATCCTCCTGAGTGCTGGGATTACAGGCGTGTACACCATACCTGACTCTCTATCCACTTTTCAAATGAAGAAAGGGGCCTGGGATTTAGCTCAGCGGTTCGGTGGCCTGCTTTGCAAGTGTAAGGACCCGAGTTCAATCTCCGGTACCAAAAAAAACCCAAAAAACCCCAAAAACAATCAAATGAAGTAAGTGAGACTCTGAGAAAAGGAGTGACTCCCCAAAGTCATCTGGGGAAACTAGATTCCAAAGCAGGCACAGTATCAGAAGTCAGCTACGGGCCAGGGATTTAGCTCAGTGGATCCACTGCCCCGCCTTGCAAGCGCTAGGACCCAAGTTCATTCCCTGATATCCAAAACAAAAAAAGCAAACAAAACCCAAAAGAAGTCAGCCTTATGCAATATATGCCAGCTGCAAAATCGGACCCGATGGTCTAGTTTCTCAGTGTGGTTCCTGCTTTGCAATCAACTGACATCTGGGCTCCACCCTACCACACTTACTAAGAAGCTCTCTGGCTGGAATCTGGTCATTTGTATTTTTTTCTGATGCTTTCCTAGTGGACATTAAATTTTTCCTTATGCACATTCAGTTTTGCTGGGGCTCTAACCCAGGCACGGCAGGCAAGTGCTCTATCACTGAGCTACACATCAGGCTCCACAGTCGTTCTGAGCACGAAGAAGATGCTCTGGGCAAACAGATCTAAGCAGGCTTCACAGGGAAGGCGGCACGCGGGGTCTGCCTATGGAGAGGCACGGAGGAGGGAAGCCACCTCAGCCTGAAGCTTCAGCCTCTGGCTGTCCCTCTTCACTGCCGGCATCATCGCTGCTTCTCTCCTCTTCTTTCCTCCTCCTCCTTCAACAGCCTTTTCAGGGGCTGAGCCCAGAAGAATTTTCTTTTTGCAAGCAGCGAGGTGGTGAGCACACAAAGGTGGACTCGTATATAAAGGATTCACGCAGGATTCAGGAAAGGGCAGAAATGTATAAAGAAGGGTGGCAAAAGGAGAAAATGGAAATAAAGTGTTAGTAAATGGGGAGGGGAGGAGGGGGTAAAGGGAGGGCAGGGACAAGGGGGAATAAACGAGAACCAAGACCTGTCATGTAGAGGTACAAGATCCCAACGATGAATGTAACTGTACTGTATACCTAAAATGTACCAATAAACTCAATGGGGGTGGGGGTGGGGGTGGCCACAGGTGGCCAGGGCAGGGCAGGTGCAGGCATTAGTGAGCTGGACAAGGACGCCCACGAACATGGGTGGATGTGAAAGGCCTAACAGGGCTGCAGAGGGATCAGTGAGGGCACGGCGGCTCAGCGTGGGCTGGAGTTAGCCCGCGGGACTGTGAAAGGCCGGAGGCGGTTCCAGAGACCACCCCTCGTCCTGCCTCGCTGTTAGTCGCGGAGGCCTCGCAGGCCCAGGCTCCAGGGTGCGGCCAGCTCCTGGGTGCGCGTCCTGGTCCTGGCGAGGGAGACAGCTTCCTACTTCCTGTGTCACATTTATCTCAGCTCGCAGATATTTTATTAGGCTTTGCTGCTTTCTGGCTTGCAGCTCATTTTAGTACAGGTCCCTCAGCCTTGGCTCTCCTTCTAGGGCTGTCTCATTCTACGGTCCAGCCCAGGCGCCTCATCAGATCGTGTACGCCCGCTTTTCCTTATATCCTTTTCCCCACTCCGCCACCTTCCCAGCCTCCCTCTCTCCCGACGTCACTGGCAGGTTCTAAGCACACCACGTCGCCCATCAACCTCGCAGGAAGCCCCGGGAGCTTCTAGTACTGACGTGCTCTCGGACCAGTCTCCGCGATGCCGCGGTGACCGATGGGGCTTGTGGTCCCCTAGCCAGTGCCACTAGACCAGACAAACTACGCATCCCACAAATCCTTGCGCCAGAGGGGGCTCCCTGCGGTCGCGAAGCAGGCCCCCTTAGCCCGCCCTCGGACTACAACTCCCGCCGTGCCTTGAGCCGCGATCCCCGCGGCAGGGACCGTGACTGTCCCAAAGGCTCCCTGGGAGTTGTAGTGCCTAGGTTGGCGCGGCGGCGAGGAGGAGGCGGAGTGACTCGACGGCCATTAGCTGTGTGTAGTTGCCCTGGACTGGGAGTTTAAGTGAAGAGGGAAATCCTACTCGGTGGAAATCAGTCATGGCTTTTGCTGTAAGGACAAGGGCTGCCTGGACTGTGCTGTCACATTACCTTGGCCCCCATCCTGCTCTGTGCCTTGGGAAAGTTGTTTTCCTACCCAGGGATTCCCTTGTGAATGGGGAAAAAGGTACCACTGTGGGGCCAACCCTCCAGGGTACACGGGAGAGAGATATTACGTCCAAGTCACAGCAACTGCTACGCAAATGGTTATTGTTCTCGTATTAGTCCACCCAGCTTCTGGATCTCCAAGCATTTTCTCTTTGTCTTGTAGCTATGAGTTAAACCAAGTGATTCTGCCTATGTTTAAGTTGAAGAGTTATTAATGCTCTTGGAAATAAATGCCCTTCTCTTGCAGAGAACAACCTTATTCTCTCCTAATCCAGCCTTGAGGAGCTGGGACAGATGAGTGAGTGTATTTAAAGTGCCATTTAAACCCAAGTCTACTCACAGGAATAAGACCAGGGCAACATCTGTAAGAGCGCTTTGTAAACCCTAAACACAAACAAATGTGGAAACTCATTATATCGCCCCCGAGGCCCTGGCCTCAGCCTGCCCCCCCCTGTCGGCGGTGCCGGGCCCCCCCTGGGGCTTCCCAAGCCAAAGAAGAGAACAGAGCCGGTGAAGATCGCGGCGCCTGAGCTGCACAAGGAGGATGTGAGTACCGGGGAGGGCACCCCAAACTGTCCGTCGGGTCGGCTGTAGGAGGGACTCCTTAAAAACTGCAGCTGGCGATCAGCCGCTGGAATCCCCTTACAGTGCGATTAACTGAGCGTAAGTTTGTCAGCTTTGGGGACTTCGGTTATTTGGCCACGCGAGTTTCTCCAAGCTGGGCTCACCCGCAGAAGGCGAGCTATCATCCTCCCCTGGCAGTGACAGGCTCGGGTCTGTGCCTGGGAATACTTGCTTTTGCTACCCCTAAACATCTTCACCTCAGGTTGGCTTTCCCCGCCTCCCACACTGCGCAGGATGAAATGTGACACTGAAGAGGTGACCGGGGACAGGACTCCGAACAGCGTCACCAGCCCTTAAAAGCATCAGGGCCTGGGGGAAGTAGGACAGGATTCCTATACTCTTTAATTTTTTTTTTTTTTTTTTTTTTTTTTTTTTTGTGCTGGGGATCTAACTTGGGTCCTTGCGCTTGCGAGGCAGGCCACCTAACCGCTGAGCTAAGTCCCTGGCCCCTATACTCTTAATTTTTAAGAAAAGTTAAGAGAAGAAATCGAATATTTGTTGTATGCAAATCATTTGCCAGGAGTTGGTCCTTCAGTTATTATAGAACTCTAGAAGAATACATACTATTTTTTTATTTTATTTTTTTGGTACCAGGGATCAAACTCAGGACCTCACGCCTGCCAGGCAGGTGCTTTGCCACTGAGCTACATCCCCAGCCCACACATACTGTATTTTATAGGTAAGAAAGCCTAGCATGCAAGGTCTTACCTGGTGAAAGGCAGAGAGGCGATTTAAGAGCTGAGTCTAAAATTAGGTGTTAGTGGCGCATGTCTGTAATCCCACAAACTTGGCAGGCTGAGGCAGGAAGATCACAAATTGGAGTCCAGCCCGGGCAACTTGATGAGACTTCGTCTTAAAATATAGTTTTAAGGCTGGGGATTTAGCTCAGTGATGTCGCACCTGCCTGGCAAGCACAAGGTCCTGAGTTCGATCGCTGGTACTGGTGGGGGGAGGGGATCTATATCTATATCTGTATTTATATATATCTATATCAAACTCAGGACTTTTCTCTTGCCAGGCAGGCTCGTTGCCACTGAGCTAAATCCCTGGCCCTATATATATAATTTTTAAAAGGGTTGGGAGCCAGGCATAGTGGTACACTACTGTAATCCCAGCATTTGGGAGGCTGAGATAGGAGGGTTGCTGTGAGTTTGATGCCAGTCTAGGCTACCTGGTGAGTTTAAAGCCAGCCTGAACTGCATAGCGAGACCTTGTCTCAAAAAGCCTAGGGGAAAAAAGAAGGGGCTGGTATGTAACTGTGGTAGAGAAAGTATCTCACATGCAGGAAGTTGTGTGTTCAAACCCTTTTACTACAAAACAACCATAAAGCAAAAAAAAAAAAAAGAGCAGGTCTATTTGAACCTCACACATATAGCTTTTTTGTTCAGCCTGGGTGCTGTTTTAGATGGGGCAGACAAGTGAGCTTGCAAAGTTTTCAGAGGGTAGAGCAGAGCAGTACCACCGGCCTCTTGGGCAGCCAGGGCTGTGGGTGTAGGAGGTGGAGTCTGGGGCTGGGGAGTTTCTCCTTGGCTCTGAGCAGCTAGGAGTCGGGAGCTTGCTCATCCTTGACAACCTTGCCTTGCTTAGAGCCTTCCGGCTCAGCTCCGGCTCAGGGCCATTTCTGTTCCTTGCATTGTTGTTCCTTCTTTCTTCCCCCAGATTTGCTAATGTACTTGCCCTCCCAGATACAAGTCTTGGTTTGGTTTATAAAAGAAAAGGAAAGGAATGTTTTTGGTGAGTACTTCCCTAGTCTACCTAGTTAAACTGCTGCCTCCTGTGTCTGCCACCTCTGGCCCCATTCTTTATTGTGTTTTTTTCTCCATAGCACGCAACCACCATCAAACATAGCATGAGTATATAATTTATTTGCCTCTCTCCTTCTAGTATACAGAGCCGGCAAAGACAGAGATGATTACTACTTTAATTCACTGCTAGTCATTATAGTGCCTGGTGTATATTTTGGACTTTGTAATTTTTTTCTGAGTAAATAAACTCAAATGAATATGGAATTTTTTTCTAAAAGGAGGTTTCAGAATCTCCCTCGCTGGGGTCAGGGATTTAGCTCAGTGGTTCCACTGCTTGCCTCGCAAGCTGAAGGACCCAAGTTCAATCCCCGGTACCAAAAAAAAAATTTTGAGAGGGCCAGGATTTAGCTCAGTGGTTCTGATGCCTGTCTCTCAAGCACACAAAGTCCCCAGTTCAATCCCTGGTACCAAAAAAAGAGAATCTCCCTCCCTGTCTTCTTCTGTTTTGCTTTTTTGAGGCAGGGTTTCCTTATGCAGCCCAGGCTGGCCTCGAACTCAAGTTATCCTCCTGCCTTAGCCTCCTGAGTGCTGGGATTACAGTCATGTACCACCACGCCTGCTTTTCTTCCAGACTTTTTTCCATGTCGTGTCCCCTTGAGCCTGTCATTTTTAGGTCTAGAATCCAAAGCCAGCTTTCCGTTGCTCCCCTGAAACTCACATCGGCCTTGCATTAACTCAGATAGAGAAAGGCCTAGGAAACAGGAAAACAGGTCAGTATCCTTGGCCTTCTGCCTTCTGTGCTCTTCCCTCTCTACCCCTGGACTGTGTCATAGCCTGACTGACATGGTGTGGGGGAAGGTGGCTCTCTGAGCCAGCCTCTTCCTTCCACAGCAACAGTGGGGACATTATTCTAGCTCCAGGAAGCTAGCGTAGAAAACCCTGCAGGAGAGGCTGTGGTAGACTCCTCTGTCTAGGTTGGCTGCAGCAGCAGAAAGTTGGGGACTCTGCATGCTGTCCCTCCTTGCTGAGTATAATTCACTACGCTTCTGAGGTGAATAGTGACACGGCCAGGGAAATAAAATGCCAGCCCTTGGCCAGGTGCTGTCTATTTTCTATTCCAGTGGGTAGTTTTGTTCTCTGAACACATGTTCCTGGGGAAGGTGCCTGAGAATGTGCCGGATGGTCAGTGAGCATGACTGAGGTCTCTAAAAGTCTGTTCCGGGCCTGGGACCCTCTTGATTCTGAGCTCCTTGACTTGCACTTAGGGGCTCTCAGTTCATGTTTGAAGGAATGATTAGTTCCCTTAAATAATTTCCTTTAGAGTTTGGTGCATTTTTGGTTTTTTGGTGCTGGGGATCGAACTTGGGACCTTGCGCTTGTGAGGCAGGTGGCAGAACCACTGAGCTAAATCCAGCCCTGCATTTTTTTTTTTTTTTTTTAAACCCTGGGATTGAGTTCAGGGCATTTGCACTGAGCTACATCACCAGCCTTTTTAATTTATTTTGAGTCCGGGTCTCACTAAATCTATAAGTTGCCCAGGCTGGGCTCAAACTTGCAGTCTTCCCCACAGTCTTCCTCTCACAGTGCTGGGATTATACGCATGCACCACCAGTCAGGCTTAATTTGAACTCAGAGCCAATTCTTCTGCCTCAGCCTCCTGAGTTCTGGGATTATAGGTGTGTGTCTGGTGGGGCTACTTCTTTGTACTTGGAGCTGAAAACAGTAGTGAACTTGCCCAAAAGGAACTTACAGTTTTATCAGGGGAGGCAGATAAGGAAGTAAAATTTCAGGTCAGCAAACTTTTGAGATGGTGCAGTTCAGACTGGCTTTAACCTGCCCTGATCCACCTGCCTCAGCCTGATTCCTGGCAAGCTCCACCAGGCCCGATTTCAAGCAAGCCTGGAAAGGGTCCTGATAGAGTTGATCCCTGGGAGCACATGTAGTAGGCGGTGTCCCTCCGCCTAGGGAGGCCAGCTAGGCGGACCAGAGCGGGTCTCAGAGATGAGGGAGGAGCGCATCTGACCCAGGAGACAGCACTGTGAGAGGCAGTGGTGGGAGACAAGCTGGAGAGGGAGCCTCGCTCAGCTGTCCTGTTCTGGGATCCTGAGGACTCTTACACGCTGGGCAAGGTGATGGTGGTCAGCCGGGACGGGGAGCTGTAGGACGGAGATGCCAGGGGGCTGAGGTGCTGGGGCAGAGCCACCCGCGAGTCAGGAGGACGGAGTGTCTGGACTCACCCTGTTTTGGGGCTCGGATCAGTCCGTCATCCTGGGTGCTCTGTGCTGCCTCATCTGCTGGGATGCTGGGGACTCGCTTAACTCAGTTTCCTCCACTTAACCTTGCTGCAGGTGTAAGGTGGCCACCTTTCTTTCCGAGACTGCCCAGAGCCTATTACTGAGCTATAAGTACCAGCCAAACCAAACAAACCTAACAAACAAAAAAAGAATGAACCATATAGGGTCAGGGATTTAGCTCAGTGGTACCACCGCCTGCCTCCCAAGCATAAGGTCCTGAGTTTGATCCCTAAAAAAAAAAAAAAAAAAGTAACCATATGCAGGAGCACTCCCCAAGAGGATTATGAACTGAAGACATGTACTAATAAAAAAAAAAAAAAAGATTTGATCACTGAATGAGTGACAGTTGGGGGGAAAAAAAAAAGGAATGAGCCATAGAGCCAGGCATGGTAGCGCCTTCCTGTGATTCCTGCACTCAGGAGGCTGAGACAGAAGCGTGGCAAGTTGGAGATTCTATGCAAGAAACAGCCCCACAGAATGAAGACTCATCCTTTCCTTGTCCCCTTCATACCCTTGCTCTGACTCAAGCTACATTGGCTGATTTCCTAGGTTCAGGGGATGTAGCTTTCTGGCTTTTTTTTGGGGATGTTGCTTTTTGTGTTTTTTTTTTTTTTTTTTTTTTTTTTTTTTTTTTTTTTTTTTTGGTACTAGGGATCAAACTCGGGCCCTTGTGCTTAGGAGGCAGGTGCTGGAATCACTGAGCTAAATCCCTGGCCCATAGACTTCTGAAATGAGAATCTTTTTAGAAAACCCAAACTAGAGTGAGTCTGCCGTAGGCGTTAGTTCTTCCATGCAACAATATGTGTGTTTCTGGGTTGGGCTGGGAGGTAGCTCAGTGGTGGTGCCTTTGCTCAAGCTCTGAGCTCCGGTCCCAGCCCGGGGA